GCCCCCCCAAAAAGGGACAGCGTTCTGAAATGGGTTCTGCTGCTTCAAAATGTCCGAGAACCATGGAAATACTGTAGAGTGACAGGAGTGCTTTCAAAGGTTAGCATGAGTGCTAGAACCTTAGCTTTGGTCGATTGAGGGCAGGGAAACCATAGGTACAGTTTAGGATTGCCAACCTCCAGGTGGAGATCTCCCCAAATTACAACTGATCTCCAGAGTACATAAATAATTTATTTAAAACATTTATTCTACTTCTGGAGATGGCATTATACCCTACTGAGGTCCCTCCCCTCCCTGAATATCGCTCTCCCAGGCTTCACCCTCAAATGTAAGATATTTCTGAACCTGGAGTTGGTAACCCTACACAGCAACGTGACAAGATCATGTGCCTGAAGTCTGCAAAATGAAGCACAAACAGGCACAGCCGTTCCACAGGAAGCAATGGGGCTCGCTAGTAAGCTCCATCTTGCCAGGGCAGGGTCATGCTGCATGACCTCTGTTCACAGCAGGCATGGGAAGCAGTGGGTTCAAACCTCACCTGTACTGGAGGAGGTTAAAACGACATGAGGGAAACGACCCAGCTTTTAAGACCTCGGCTTGGCAACCACGTGGGGGCGTCTGCCAGCCGTCTCTTGACACGATCAGGTTAAGGTGGCCTCGAACGCCATTGCGGAGTTAAAACGGTAAACAGACCTGGACAAAAAGGGGTGTGTGTGTATGTGGGGAGACGCTTTTATTTTCACACAGATGCAGCGCTGCAGCCAGGTTGCTTTTGAAATTAGTTTTTAAAAAAGCTGTCCCCCTGCCAGTATGTCGATGGCATTTCTGCCACCAGATGGCTCTGTGCCCCCCCCCCTTTGGCACAGACAGAGGAACAGCTGTGGCAGTTTCCTGTTCTCCACATCCTGGCGGAGGAGTGAGGCTGGACTGATGCATTGTGGGCCTGATACGACAGGAACGGGGCTGTGTTGGCCTGCTCTTTCCTTTAAAAGAAAACGCTGTGCGTGTGGTGGAGAGAGAACAAGGCAGTGAAATGTCAGGTTTCTGGAATGCCTGTAACCAGCATTTCAGAGCTACGCCTTTCAGTTTGTACAGAGAACACTACCACCCATAATGGAGTTCCTGTTTTTGAGGACACTCAAGATGGCATTAGATTTTTTAAGGTCTGCAGCACCTCATGGCTCACCAGGCTTCTGTGCCTTTAAGAGTTGCGTGACAAGCAGAAATGTAGCCGGCAAAGCTGTGCCCCCCCCCAACATGCAGCTATAGGCATGGGGAAAAACCAGCTGCTGGGTTTCTGCTAGTGAAGTGGGAAAAGAGAACCATGGGGGTGGGGAGGAAGCCTCACACAGAAGCTTGCTTGCAAGTGTTTCAGATTTATTGGCATGTCTGCAGTTTCTCTCCTGCTTGATTAAAAGAAACGTCTTGCCCTGACCTGGGTAGCTCAGGCAAGCCCGATCTCATCAGATCTCGGAAGCTAAGCAGGGCCGGCCCTGGCGAGTATTTGGATGGGACGGGAGGCAGAAGCAGGCTATCAAGCCACTTCTCTGAACGTCCTCCATGCCCCAGTAGGAGTCACCAGAGGTCGCCAGGACTTCCAGGCATGGGCGCACACATACACACACACAAACACACCAAAAAAGCCTTTTTAAAAGAAAAATATACTTTAAAGGTCCAAATAATGGAATTTCCAAAAATAAAATGCTCCCCAATTTCTTTTAATATTTACTTACATTATAGTCCGCCTTTCTCATCTGGACTCAAGGCGGATTAAGCAGAGTCAGTCAATACCATCAACAAATGGGACACTCCATGAACAGTGCAACAGGATTAGGATTGTGGCACTCAACAGAAGTCTAAAAACAGAACTGAAGCAAAGCATAATATTAAGATGACACATTAAATGATGCAAGTCCACAGCAGTGTTCCCTCTAAGCTGAGTTAGTGTGAGCTAGCTCACAGTTTTTCAGCCTCTGGCTCACACATTTCTGTCTCAGCTCAGGAAGGATGGCCCCAGAGCCAACTAATTTATGCAGTAGCCGAATCGCTCGCTCACAACTTTAATGCCAGTAGCTCACAAAGCGGAATTTTTGCTCACAAGACTCCACAGCTTGAAGGGAACATTGGTCCACAGTAGGATCCTAGTTCCAACAAGCTACACACAGTAGTACAGACCACAGTCCCTAATCATTTATCCAAGTAACTCTGAATCATTTAGTACTGTGCAACTCTATTGCCTGCATAGAAAAGCCCTCTTGAATAATTCAGTTTTGCAGTTTGCGGAAAGCCAGGAGAGGGGGAGCCTTCCTGACCTCCTAAGGCGGGCCGTTTCATGAGGTGAGAAGGCACAACGGAGAAGGCACATGTACCCGCCATTGTTGATTTTGTCCATTTGCAGACTGGCACCTACAGAAGGCCATGCTCAGGTTACTGAAACTGTCGTGGTGGAGCAGAGGGGGAGAGGCGGTCTCACAGATATAAGGGTCTGAGGCCATGAAAGGCTTTGTATGTGACAGCCAATACCTTAAATTGAAACCCGTAACTGATGGGCAGCCAGTGAAGTGCTTGCAGGATGGGAGTCATATGCACGTTCCATCTAGGTCCCGATAACAGCCAAGCTGCTTGATTGGTGGCATCTCAAGGTTCCAGTAAAAGATGGACTGCTAGTTTGTTATGGAACTGAGTATCTGGAGGTACCAGGTCTACTGGAATCTCTGGTTTAACCTGGAATTAAAATTTCATTCCCTGAGCACACTTGGGCTTGACCTCAGCACCACTTGCTTTTAAGTAAACATGCACAAGGTGAAGTCCAAAAATGCATTTTAAAAGGATCCTGATCAAGGCAATTCTGCACTCCCTACAATTCACTCAAAGTAGTCAGTCCGTCCATCCCCCAGCGGGCCCCCCCCCCGTGGTGCCACTTCCTCATGGCTTGTGCTAAAATACTCTGGATGCATGACAGTGCTCTTTATTATGGGAAGTTTGGCCAACAACAAATAATGGTTGCTATGAGATGACTTACTAGTTAAGGGACAATTAACAATGCGATCCAACTGTGGTTAAGGTCAGACTATTTCTTACTTACCCTTATAAATTTAGGATTGCCATCCTATACAAAACTAAGTGACCTGGCAACATCCCTTCCAGCAATTTTAAGCACCCCAAATCAACCCTGCCCAGCAGCAAGCTTCACAGCACTCTGCATTGCAGCAGGAGCAAATGGGTCTGTTTTTAAGGAGAAAAGGCCAGTTTATTTTAAACCTTAGCTAGCAAGTTAGTCACGGGAAAGAAAAGGTCCTTCAATCCTCCAAATGCAGGGAAATATTAGAATTAAAAAGCAGTTCACGGCTGCAGAGTCCTAGGCACGCAGGGACTTCCAAGCAACGCATAGCCCTGTGAGGCGTGTGATCACAGCCCCTCCCCCACAGAAGATCTGGCCGCCCCCGGAGGGAGGACGGAGGCCAAGCCGGCTACCGGATCAGCAATAATCTGACCAGCCCAAGATGCAAATTCTCCAACCCGAGGATCAAGGCACCTTGTGGGCAGGCCAATCTCCACCTCCATCGGTGTGGCGGCTGCGGAGTTCCCCGGATGTTTTCCTAACTATGGGTGGGATGGGATTTTTTTCCCCCTCTCCCAATTTCTACGCCTGGACGCCGCTAAGCATCAGATTCGGCGGCGGCGACTCCTTCCGAGGCGAACCAGCAGCAGCAAAGGAATTTACCAGTCGTTTGGAAGGGGGCATTGCGCCAAGGCACGGCGCCTCCGCCGCTCCTTTGGCTCATCGGTTCACCTGGATTTCTGCCCTTCCGAACTTTTTTTTTTAAACCGGGGGGGGGGGGGGAGAGCGCTGAAGGAAAAAGGGGTACGTGAGAACGACTCGCGCCAGGAGTCGAAGCAGACGCCAGCGCCGCAGTCCCGCGCATACTTGCTCGGGGGACCTCCGTCCCTAAGTGCTCGGTGGGGCTCCCCTCCACGTAAACAAGGGCGCGAGAGGAATGCGAGGGGGAAGGGGGTGGAGAGAGGTGCCTCCGCGGCTGGGGGACCAGCGTGGGATTCGCGGCACGCCGAAAGAGCTGGGAGTGGTAGCAGAGAAAGCCATGCGCGGGATCGCCGCAAGATGCTCGAGGGGCCAGAACGGGGGTTTATTGGCAAAAGGTGGCATGAGATCCTGCAGTAACGCGAGCTGTAACCTGCCCGGGTAACTAGAGCGCTCTCAGCATAACTCCCACCCCCTTTCCTGGCGCGAAATCTCCCCTGCAGTCTCACCCTTCCCCCCCTCCAGTTGAGCCACCCAAGTGAGGGCATGCGCCGTGCGCATTCTGATTCCCCCTCCGAGGCCAGCGCCTCCGTGCGCATGCACGGAGGACTTTCCAGAACCAACAGTGAACCAAGGCTCTCCCCCGCCGCCTTTTTTTCTCCATGCCACGTGTCCCTAAGAAGCACTTAACCCCACGTGGGACTGGCCACGACGAGCCAATCAAACGATTGCCTCGCCCTTCAGCACGTAGAACAGCAGACCCACGTGCGCATAGGCACGAACAGTGCCCGGCTGCCAGGCACCGCTATGCTCCCAGCCCAACAGCTCCTCCTCCTTTCCCCTCCCTCGCAGCCTCTTTACGCATCTCTAACTCAGTTCTACAAAGTCCGGGCTGCGGCGCTTACTTTTATAGCACTTATGGCGATGACGTTTCTAAAGTGGCATCTGTAAAAACCAATAATCTAGTGGTGCCCGCGGGAGGGGAGGGAGCTGAAGCGGTCAGGTTACAGGTAACGGGGTAAGACCGGCCGCCCCTCCACCTGAAGAGCAGCAAGCGTGCCCAATGGGAGCGTGGAAAGGAGACCAGGACGGTGCGGTTTACAGAAGGGAGGAGGCTAGAGAGCGTGCAGAGAGCCTAGCCAATGAGAGAACCCTGTGGGCGTGGCTGGGGCGCCCCTGGCGCCAGCGCTGGGAATCCCCGTGTACTCAGTACCGTTTCCGCCCGGCCTGTTGAGGAGGAGTTGTCGGCTGTTCGCTATTACTGCGGAGGGGGAGGGGCCGTGGCTGCTGCTCTGTGGAGCTCAGCTCTTGGTCCCGCCTGCCGCGTAGGAAACACCGTGGCGCCGAGCAGGGCCTAGTGCGGGGGGCCCGGGCAACGGGCCGGACAGGTTAGCCAAGGCGAATAAGGAAGAGGGCGGGTGTATATATATGGGGTCTGAGGTGGGGGCTGGAGGACCAGAATCTGAGAGGGGCGCCTGTGGAGGGGGAGGGGCGGGAAACTTGTGCATGTTGGGAGGGTCGGGGGTGGGGGGGGTCTGGGTCCCCCTTCCTCTTTCCCAGGGTCCTATCACCATCCTATAAGCCTCCTCCTCGTCCTCCTCCTCTTCTTCAAGAGTCTCAGCCCCGCAGTGCCCTTCCAAGTATCCCTTATAATTGGGGTCCTGTAGAGGGGAGCCCCGGGAGGAAGGGGGAGAGAGGGAGAACGAGGCAGTTTTTTTCCCCCCAGGGAGATGCAGAGTTTCTCACATTTGGCGCGGTGGGGGTGGAGAAAGGAGAAGTCAGGCTCTCTTGTCTGGAGTCTGGCGTGACCCAGTCCTCTTTCCAGCCACGAAAGGCTCTAGAGGCCGAGGGGTGTCTGTGAGGGGGGGGGGGAATCCCCGCCGAGTTTTGTATGCAGGCAAGTCAGGGAAGGAGGGAGGGGAGGGGACCGGGGGGAAAACGTCGCAGGGCTGCTTGCTGTGTCGTTCCCACCCATCCCCCACCCTGCCTCCTTGTAAGGTTAAGAGCTGTGGTGGCGGGGGTGTGGGGGGAAGGGGAACTTGTCCCGTGCCAGGCGCTGGAGCAGAGCGGGGGCGTCATGGCGATCCTGCTCTGGATGTGTATCTGGTTTGGGGGATGGAGTAGCCAGAGGTGGTGGGAGGGCAGGGCAGCGTGTGTTGGGAACGGAGGAGGGAAAGCGTGTGTGTGTGTGTGTGGGGGGATTTGAACGAACCTAATTAATGCATTGTATTTGGCTTCCTGGGCTGGATTCTCCGCCTGTGTGTGGTGTGAAATACGCAGTCAAGCCTTTTGTGGATGACCTACTGCAAAAATGTGGGAAAATCCCTTTCTTGGACGATGGCTTCCACTTAAAAGCAGCAGTTTGCCAGGAGAGAGAGAGAGAGAGAGAGTGTGTGTGTGTGTGTGTATTCATGCTCCTGTGTGAGTTCACCACTGCCTCCCCTCTCTTTCCACCCCTCCTCCTTCATGTGCTGAAGCAGCTTCCCCTGAGCTGCTCCTTCCCGCCCCCCCTTCCCTTTCCTCTACTGTCTGCTTCTGACTTGCTGGCTCCTCCAGGCAATGGGGGAGGAGGTGTTTGACCTGCATTTTCTGCTTTCTCATGGTGCTTGTGTGGCGATGGTGGTGCACTTTACAATCCTTTTCTTTTACCCTGCTGTTAGAGACTGCAGCGTGGATTTTTTTCCCCTCCCAGTTTTTTGTTGTCTGTTGCTTATGTGTTTTCTCAGAGTGTGTTTTTAAAAATCGTCCTACCTCGATCCCAGCACCTTAACTGGTAATTCAGTACTTAGTAAACATAATAGTCCTGTGGCAAGGTCGTCATAGCCCTTGTCTCCAGTAGCTTGTCCTTGAGGTGCCAGTGGCCTGCTGGTTGAAACAGAGCTCTATTTTGTGAGACAAATCCTTTTCATAATTTGGGGAACTGGCTTTCCAAGTAATCTGGGAAGAGGTTTGTGGGCATATAGAATGTCAGGAGCCTGTTCCATGGTAAGGGTATAAATGTAAGAGGTGCTGGTCTATACAGCTGACTAGAGGGATCTCCTGTGCTCTAAGGAGGGCATCCCTCAGGTTGAGGGAGATCTTTGTAGAAAAGAACAAAATATTTCGCTTCCTTTGGTGAGTCTGGTGTTACTTTAAGGAGATAATGGCCCTTGCAGTGTGGCCTCCTGCAGGTTTTCTCTCTGGTCCATTATGTAATTGGAGTATTTAAGGTTCACTCAGGCAGAGGCTGTGGGCAGCAGAATGAATTGATTTTGTCTTGGCGTGGGATGGGGGGGGGGAGGATAGGGCCATGCCCTTAAAACCCACAGTTTTTGGCAGCAAAAGGATATCCCAGATCACAAAAATATTTTCCAAATGAGCTTTCCATGGAGGCTTGTGGTGTGTTGCAGCCTGGACAAAGATGCATTACTTCCTTAATAGCAAGTGAGCAGGACTTTCCTTTTTCACCTGTGAAGGTGACATCGGCATTCTTTTCCCCCTACAGCTGGCCCAGGAAGTCTGTTTCCTTGTCAGCCTTGTGTCTTGCAACACAGAGGTGACTAAGGGTGTAGCTTTTCCTTGGATCCTGTGGGTGAGCATTCAAGGCGGCGACAAGCAGCTAATGTTGGCTCTGGAGCTCTGGTTGCTACGTGAGAAGCTTCAGTAGTGTTGGCTGCTGTCTCCAGGGACGGACAGCAGTGCAACCTCCATTAGTGCTGCACTTAGGAGATGGCTGGTTCATGCTCTTAGAAGGGACTCTTCTTTCTGGGGCATGGAAGCTTTGAACTGTAAGAATGTGAGTTTTGTCCAGCTAACTAAAAGAGGCTGCTTTCCCGCTCCCCAGCCTTTGGATGTGGCCTGAAAATCCAGAAATATCTTTTATGATTTCCAGCTTTTATCAGTCCAAGACGGTGGGAATAGATCAGATCTTCCTGAAGTGAAAGACGTGCTTTGGTCTGCAACTGCAGTCTGTGTCTGACTTCAGCCTTCCCTTCCAGTAAATCAGAGAGCCAGATGCTTTCCTTATTGTTTGTAGGTCTCTTTCCTCCCCTTTCATTGCCTGGGCCCCAGTTGCCTTATTGACAGGAATTTCTGCTTTGTGCAATGGGTGTGTGCCTCAGACATCAGCTTCCTAGTGCTGAGTGTATTTTCCACTCAAGGGCTACAGTGCAGTCAAAATATGGCCCATTTTGCCTTTGCAAGAGATAGCAAAACATTTTCTAAGGAATTGCCCCTTCCAGCTAGGTAGGATATAGCATCCATAGTGCTGTGAAGGCAAGGATGCAGCAAAGACTCTCCTTTTATAGGTGCAATATAATTCTGCTCTTGCTGTGCCTATAAATTATTGTTCCCTGCCTTAGTCTTGTGGGTCTTGTTTACAAGTTATTTTGAAAACCTGATAGCTGCGTCAGTCAAACTTCTTCCTTGGTGTGTGGGGAGGCATAGACAGTTTTTAGGGGAGGCATGAGTCCTTCCTCAGCGTTTGCTTGTGTGCTTTATTGTGCCAAGAAGCAGAATGCTCATATGCCCCCTCCTCATTGGTACAGCATACAGTCTATGCGGTACCAATGGGAAAAGGGCATAGACAGTTGTCTGACTTGCTACATGATGGACAGTGCTACATGATGGACCATTGAACAATATATTTTACAAGCACAACAAGGCATGTTCATCAATTTGTGTGTGCCCCCTTTCCCCGCCTCATTCTTTGATCTGCCTGTCCTTGGGCTGGGAGGCTGCTGCTTGCTAAATCTAGGACTTGGTTGTTTTTGACAGAGACTCACTACAGTATACATTGAAAATAATTTTGCTGTACAATTTTGAAATCATTGTTTACCTGTAGTATCTTTTCCAGCACCAGTAGATTGGACTGTAACTAGTTTTGGTATATTTCTGTTCTGACAAAGGTATTTTGTACAATGTTAGACGTTGTTGTACCAAACAGGCTAAATATAAGTATACCGTAAATGCAACCTTGAAAATGTAGAGCATCTTAAATGAGAAATATTTGTGATAGGACTAGAAAAATAATTCGGGATACTGAGAGCTAAAAGCTAGGTTTTAGAAGTAGTTCCAAATTCTAGGAGCCCTGGCAACTAGACATTCTACATATGATAATCATATAGTGAAAGAAACCATGATAGTGCGTATGGCTTGACTTACCAGGGCCTTGAATTTCAAGGGTATTGGTTGGCTCTAGCGAAATGAATGATTTTACCAAAACATTTTTGTTTTGACTTATGCTGCAGACAGTTTTATGTTGGATTATTTTTTTCTGAATTCTAACTACAGTCCTAAAGGCTACTAACCCTTGAAACCATTTCTGGAGTTATATCATTGATGGAATACTTCAGAGTAAGCAGCTTGAAGGATTGCATCCTAACTGGCTATAAGAGCATAGAGACTGAGCTACCAGATCCATAGCCATTGCTCTGAGCAGGGACCTTTGAGCTTGGCACTGCACAGTGCCCAGTTTCTTTAACGCTTACTCATATTTTGTTTCTGAATGTCACTGAAATGCAGCAAATATTGTTTTCTACTTCGGGTGCAAACAGGACAGGACAGTTGTAGTGTAAGTTAAAATTCACTTGTAACATCTGGTGTTGGCTCTTTATTCTTGGTAATCTTCAGTTATTCCTGTAGAGTGGAGCCTTGGACATGAAGATTTTGGGTCATCAGGCCCTTTAGGAATCCAGTGAGGTCTGTGGCACCTCTTCTGCCTTTGACTCAGATTAGTGTACCATCTTCAGGGCCTGGATGCCTTAATATCAGCCCGCTCTTCCCTGGCTTCTTTTGTCTAAATTAGAATCCATGTGTCAAAGAGCACATATGGAAAAGTGAAGATCAGTACAGTGCATTAGAGCAGTGATGAAATTCAATTCAGGTGGAATGGATGTCTAATGAAAAAAGTTATGGATATGGCCCTTGGGCATCTGCTGGGTAGGGAACTTGGTCCATCAGCCCATTTGAGTTTGACACCCCAACAGTATACCATTGCATTTTTCATACATATTGACAGTATGGTGCTACATTGGAACTGGACATGACTGAGAGATAGGAAGATAATACGCTACTGATAAAATGACATTGCATTTCCATGGAAGTACCTGAAGTCCTACTGTAATATCCCATGTTATCAGAGTTTCAAATTGTACTTCATGCTTTGAGGTTGCCTAACCAACCCTTTTGAAATTCACTGTAGTGGTTGAAGACATTTAAAAAAGCATTCCAATGCAGTGAGACTGTTATCAGTCCTTTAGAAAGGGACTGTAGAAGACTTTTTAATTGTCTTTAGGAAAAAGTATAAGGACAATAGAAAGCCATCATTGGGCAAACTAATTTCATTGGAAAAGTGTTATTAACTTCCAGACTTCTCTTCTAATGTGGAAGACTGCAATTAGTAAGATAG